CACACACACACACACACGCACGCACACGCACACGCGCGCGCGCACACACACACACACCCTATATATATATACATATATATATATATATATTTGTGTGTGTACGGAAGGAATATTATATTCAACCAGACTTTAATTTCATGCCATATACTACGTATTATCTAAACACCCAATTCAAACCAGATCAATTCAAATCAAACAAGCAATCTTCAATGTAGCTGAAAACATTCTTACTGAAATATTGTAGTCTACCTATTAATTTTTGTTTTGGAGAATAAAAGGGCGGGTTTTTATATTAAAATCGAGGAACTTTACAAGACAACATCCAGACAGCCATGACAGATCCGATCGTCAGCCCTAGGAATAGACATAGAATCAGCTACCTCGTAAAAAGCAACCTGATTCGCTAGACACAAAACAGACAATTTTAAGCATAAAACAATCAGATCCGAAACATCACCGATCAAGCGTACTCCAAAAATCTAAACTAAATCTACTCAAAAAATAAATACAAGTACTACTGAAGGAAAAATAAAATCGAAGTAAAGTCTTTCCATAATATACTCTTCCTGGCATGGAGGTGGTTCTGGAGGAGGACGGGCTCTATGAATGTCTACACACTCCAAAAGAAGACAAACAGAAACCCTTGACCTGGCGAAGCTGGCCAATACAACAACACAACTCCCCACATTGAGAGAGACAAACCACCCCGGAGCGCCAGTGCCCGGGAAAGAACCACTACAAAACAAAACAAACACAATCAGAAAAAAGAAGACTCCATTTGGGTATATCCCTACCAAGAATCTCCAAGTTGATATCAAAACATATATCCTCCAACCTTCACGATTAGCCCTTCCTCTTCCTTGGACCTTGCTTCCGATCGACAAAGCAATCTCACCGCCCTAAGAATCAATTGATTGACACACAGTTTCTAGGCTTAGCCTAGGGTTTGAGGTGTGCAGCCTCCGTGGTGCCTATCGTCTACCGTTCTATCTAGTAATGTTAATAATTGGAGTCTTAATGATATTAATTAAATAAATTTTATATTAATCTATCTATTAAATTAGGAAACAATTCCATTAATATTACTCTTTTTACTGTGGTGGACAAAAATATTACGTAGTAACTATTAGTGACTATAATTCTTTTCAAATTTTGCATCGTAGTAATTACATGTCAGTTACTACAATGTAAACTTTGAAAAGAATTATCGTCATGAGTACTTACTAAGTAATATTGTTGTTCATAACCCCTTTATTAGTAATATTTAAGGAAAAATCCCTTAAATTAGGGATATTATGTTATTTGTATTCAATACTACGTTCTTCCCGACTTAAGCTTCTCGTTACAAAATGACATGATTTTTATACAATTATTAAATCAGGTAATTTGAATATAGTTTCAGAAACAATTTTGATGGGTATATAACACATAATGAGATCATTCATGATGACGACGACTATGATGTTATATGTGTATTATTTTTAATATTTGATGATTAATTTTTCATTTAAGAGTTCCAATTATTTTCTAAAATACAAATGAGAAGCTTTAGCTGCAACATCGAAAAGAGGCAAATGAGAGGCTTAGTCGATCTGTTACTATTTATTTCCTTGTGGTTTTATTGTTCTCATTTTGACTAACATTGTGATTCTCTTTTCTATGCTATGAACTTAATGTTATTCTAAACAAGGCAACATATTTCCTTGCCAAGAGCTGCAGCGAGCCTAAATCAACTCTACACTCGTTCTATCTTAGGATTTGATCCGGTTTCAAAAAAGTATAAGGTTTTGGAGTTCCAAAAATCATATGATTTCTATTGTAACGATTACAAGAGGCAATTTTGTGTGTTAACTCAGGGGATGGATAAATCATGGAGGGAGATCAGTTGTGATTTAATTAGGCACCTCAATGCGAGTGTTCACATTGACGGTATTATCTACATGATAAGCTTGATAAATAAACAACAAATTGTTACTTTCAACGTTGAAGGAATGTACTATCGAAACATCGTGGAGATTGTCATGGATGGAAATCGGTGGCCGGCTTGCTGTCGTTGATAAACAAAGTAACAACTTCGTAGGACGAGTAATGGATATTTGGACTTTGGATATTTGTATATCGTATATAATTTGATTGAAAATCGCGACTTCTGCTAATACTCAACTGAATATGTGAAACATTTATAAATAAAATGCATTGATATGACATTTTAAGATGTACATGACATTAGTACCAAATAACATTAGTACCAAATGAACATACATAATTTAAAAAATTAGCATTAATATGAAATCGAAAATTTTGTTACTTGATCATCAATACATTTTCATTGACAAGCTCACAGAGAAGCAACCATGACTTTCATCGACCAAAATGGAGTCCCACAATCAAACTTTCCCTGTTGACTCCAGAAAATGGACGATCAAAGCCATTAGAGCCATGCGGTACATGTGATCAGCAATGGACTACCTTGGATCCCATGATTTATCCATCCTGTCCTTGGATCCATTTCTCTTTACCTGTTACACATGTACGTTATTCTAAAAAGTTCATTCTTTAAAACGTTAAATGACTTTCATAGATAATACATGGTGTATTCAGTTCACTGGAAAGAGATTATTTGACTTGACATTGATCATACTTCATACATCATACTTATGAGTAATGATCAACTTTATGACTTCTGGAATTTTAGCAAGGTACAACTTTACATTACCCTTGAATCAAACTCTCTCCGTCCCATTTTACTTAGTCAAACTTGACTTTTCAAGTCAATGAAGTCTAATTTTGATAGATTATATGTTTATATGGAGAAATTATTGATCATATGAAAATGATATGAAAATGTTCTTTGTTAAAAATACTATCATAAAAGTATAAACTTATTAATTTTTGCATCATTATATTAGTTAGAATAATTGGTCAAAGTTTACCATCTTTTACTGGAAAATTCAAAGATGGCTAAGTAAATTGGCACGGAGGTAGTTATTTCTGGTTTGACTATGATTATCATATGGGTTCTTTTACTTCTGTTTTATGCATTGTATAACGTTTATGTTTTCCTTGTTTTCTATTTCTATTTCCAGCTATATTTTTTATATGTTTTCCTAGTTTTACTATCCTCTATTTCTTAATAATTTGGAAATCATTTTTTCCTAACACATGTCCAATATCATACATGTGGTGTCAAGGCCACCACTCCACCAGTAATGCTATGCATTAAAAAATTGTTTCTTAATTTTATGAAAAAACAAAGATAAAGGAAAGCAGTTTTCTGTTTCTAAATTTAAAAACTGGTGAAGTACAATGTTTTCTGTATTATGAATTTGAAAATAGAAAATGTAAACATGATTGTTTTCTGAATTCAATTTTCCTTTGCTAAACAGGTCAGGACATTTTTTGGGACTAATAGAATTTACTTGTGTATTAATCATCAATTCAAAGAGAAGTAGTGCCAACATCTATTAATGAGACGTGGAATAATCATTTGAGTTTTCAATTAGTCCCTTATATAGGAGGTTCTGCCCGCCCGTCGCCAATTGGAGCGGTTCCCGGTGGAATTTTTTAATGAAATTTTTTTAGCATCTTGTTCATTAAGTCTAGTTTACACATACCAAATTGCATCTAAAAATTCAACCGGGAAGGCAGTCAAATGATTTTTTTGAAGATAACTGCGCAGTTAAACAACGCAGTACATTTCAGAAAATCATTTGACTGCCTTCCCTATTTAATTTTTAGCTCAAATTTGATAAGGGTAAACTAGATTTAATGAAGAAGATGCTCAAAAAATTTCATCAAAAAATTCCACCGGGTACCTCCCCATTTGGCGATGGCCGGGCTGAACCTCCTATATAAGAGGCTAATTGAACACTTTAAGTTAGTTCAAGGACCTATTTGACCCTTTAGCCAGGTTGTTTCTGCTGAAACTTATGAAGTTCTGGCTGAAGTGGCTGCATTGACTTATTCTGCTGATTTAAGAAAAAATTATTTTAAAAATATATCTTATTAATAAAATAAAGAAAAAAGTATATGTAAAAATAGCTAAAATGATCATTTACAGTAACTTTAGCCAATACAGCCAGAAAAGTAACTCCAACCTTTCTTTTTCTGCTTATTACACAATTCAGCACACAAAAGTAAAAGTTATGTGTTTGGTGAAAAAGTTGGCTGATAATCCTGATAAGCCGAAAAACAGCGTTGCCAAACGGTCTTTTGGTTGATCAACAGGCCTAAGGCAAATTGAGTTCTTCATTCCCGTATAGAAAAAACTTTGCACAATAGAGCCATAGCCCGTTTGGTAATATCAAAACCGTCTGATTCTCTGACCCCCTGGAGTAAAAAAAATCAAAATCGACTGATTCTGCCAAAATTTATAAAATTTTTGCTGAATTGACCGATTCTGTTGATTTATGAAAAAATTATACTCCCTCCGTCCCGAAAAGGTTCGCCAACTTTGACTTTCACGTGGATTAATAAAGTAAAAATTGTGTGGTTAAAATTTTTGTAGAGGAGAGAGAATTAACTTTAGCCACATATTCCTTACTTTAAATGGAAATGACAAATCTTTTTGGGATATCCAAATAAGCAAATTTGGAAAACCTTTTCGGGACGGAGAAGTATTTAAAATATATTCTACCTATTACTAGAATAAAGAAAAAATTAAATGTAAAAATAGCTAAAATTATCATGTACAATAACTTCAGCTGATACAACAAGAAAAGTAACCACAACCTTACTTTTTACTATTATTATTGAACAATTCAGCGCTTGAAATTAAAAGTTACATGTTTGAGAAAAAGTTGATTGATAAGCCTTGATAAACCGAAAAATAAGATTACCAAACACGCTAGGAAAACACGTAATAGTAAACCAAAAAATAGTGAAAGCCACAATCTTTTACATAATGATTCCTTCTGTCAATGATGTTATAACAACATACAGTTTGAAGAATATATTTCACAATAACGTATCTAATTCCCTCAAATCTTTTCCTACTCACACAGCATTTAACAAACAGTAATATCCCATAAAAAATTCTTTGTGTCATATATACGACCTTGAGGCTATGGCAGAGCGTAAGAAAATCAATGGAAATGGAAGGAGAGGGCAAAACTACATATAGCAGCCATTGTGGCAGAGAATAAATTAAAGGTTGTGATTTGTTTAGTCGTCGGATTGCAGGCTTTCAGGTGAAGAGGGAGAGTTCGCCGCCGGTGGATTGGGGGCCTTGGTTCTCCGTTTCGGTCATTTAATCAGTATTGCCACATAGTTTATCAGCCGGTATTTCACTTTTCATCGGTCTAATTTACGCTACATAACTTTTTTCTGTGAAACCATTACATATTTATGACTATAATAAACATTCATTACAAAAATGTGACTAGTGATTAGAGTAATAATGAAAATATTAATTTTATTCAAATTTTAAATTATCATGACACTATTTTTTTTATAACTATTAGTCATACTTATATACATGAGTTTTATTTTAATACGCAATAATATTTTTGAAATAGCTCTTTTTTTATTTTAAAAAGGGTCTATTTGGCCCTTTACGGTCCCAAAAGAACTTCATAGTTTGACTGTACGGTTTTTAAAAAAGTTGAATTTTTTGTTTTGATTTTCTCATTATCCCCCCCGCCTCACAAAAAAAAGTAGATGAAGTGTAGTGGGTGGTGTAAAGTAGGTAATAAATAAGGGTATAAGAAAACTTTATATTGAAAAGTTATCAAAAATATAAGTGTGAAGTTTATTTTAGAACTACTCAAAAAGGAAAGTGTGAAATTGTTTTGGAATCAAAGTGAGAATATATAGTTCTGACATGTTTTTATTAGTCTTATCAGGCTATATTTTTACAGAAGAAAGGAGCAGTGCTTTAGGATCGGCAAATATCGTATCTGACGGCCAAATCCAGGCAGAGAAACCGGATCCCTCCAAAACAGCCTCCCCCATGGCCCCATCCCCCATCCCATCTCCACTTTCCCACTTCTTCAATGTGCCACAACGTACACTTCTAGGAGTCCAAAATTTCTATTTTTAGCATTTTGGACTCTTAATACTTTTTCTTATAGATGGCCTTAGGATGTCATCAATTATGATTCCATAAGATTTTAAAAGATACGATTGTCACAATTTCACGAATCTCATGATCAATCTGGAATCTAATGGAATTAGGCAAAATCGTCTCTAGTCCACAAAATGTCCATGGTTTTTTTTAATCCTGGATTTCAATGGATTTGAATTTCCACTGCTAAAAAATGCAAAAGAATCCAACCAAACTCTAACCATTACCTCCGGATTTCAATAGATTTCACGTGGAGAAGCAAAGCAAAGCAAAGCAAAGCACGAAGTCCAGGATGGGTGTATAACGACACCCTGTCAAGTGTATATATATATATAAATATGGTGCCAATCTTCATCCTTTCCTTCTTCGTCAAGTGTCAGAAGCCCCTCTCCGAGATTGGTTCGGATACAGATTGAGACTAACTAAAGGAGAAGTATGTTGGGTGTGTACTGTATGTACGTGTAAGTCTGGAAGTTCAGAAGCTCCATCTAGGATTCATTGTAGTTGGATATCGTTAGTGTCCTTGGGCGTCGAAGCCAAATGGTGAGAGGATTTCAATTTCATGAATTTTTATTACAATCTCATGCATTCTATATATTTTCATAAAATTACATTAAAGTCTCAATCCTTTAAAATCTTATGAAATTTAATAGAGAAACCCCCTTACCTAAGGTGGACATTATGAAATTATCCCATTCGCATGATGTGAATGTTTCTGATATGAATTTTCAAAATCTAATATGATATAATCTTAATCTTCTGATATGATCTCATCTGAATCTTTATAATAATAATAGTAATAATAATAATAATAATAATAATAATAATAATAATAATAACAATAATAATAATAATAATAATAATAATAATAATAATAATAATAATTCATGTCTGAACTTTTTTTATATGATCTATATATTTGTGGTTTGATCTGAATGTTTCTGGTCTGATCTGATTTGAATGTTTTTGTTCTAATTTAAACTTTTAAATTCGCACAAATCCGGTATGAATCTTTATGTTCTGATCTGATATAACTAGACCTGATGTGATATTTTTTATCTGAACCGGTTTGAATTTTTGTGATATGACCAGATCTAATTTGACTTTTTTATATGATTTGATCTAAATAAAATATAAACAATAAACAATACAAATAAGATAAAAAGAAAACCTCTCCCTATATACACGTAAAAAAATTTATGCATTTTAATTTTGGGCCGACCGAAACAAGAAGACCGGTAGTATATGTACAGCACGTCAGCACGCTATTGTTAGGGTTCTTTAATTTAATGGAATAGTTTGTTCTATATATACTTGCTTTCATTCTAAATTTTATAATCAAATTTGTACATGCAAAGCAATTTTATGTAACCTCACATCATGAATCATGCTACCGCATACACGTCATATGATTTACCAGATCTTCAAACCTAGGTAGCATCAAGCTCTTAATTATATTCTTGTTAATTTTTTCCTAACGTGATATTTTTACTTCATATAATCATCTTGCTTCTTTTTTCTTGTATAAAAAAAGTGCAATCCATATGAGAAAACTAATGTGTTTTGCAATTTAACACTACGCCTTCTAGCTCTATTAATTTATTTATTTTAATAATTAATGTACATATTGTAGGTATTCTTAGATCGTTAGAGCTTCTTAGTTGGCTCCGTTCGTTCCATCAATATAGACCGAACTACCTAAAACTTTATATGGTTGCTAGTTAGCCTAGTTTGAATATGGATATAGGATACTCCTAATAAATTTGTGGGAGAGATTTACCTAATAAAGGATTAAAATAAACTAATTTTTTTTCCAAAAATAAAATCAACTTTAGTAAAATACATTAAATATTATTTGTTATTTGTGATTGAACCAAAATATCCTCATAGGGATGGAGCACTGCTGCCCCAGGTTGTCCGACCACCGCCTGCCATCGGAACCTTTCCAGATTTTTTCTGCCGACCTGCCAAATTGAATTTCAATATTGTAGTTTAATGATTCAGTTCGTTTTTTACTAAATGATCAACAAGTTCAGTTTTCAATGAAATCGTAAATAAACATGATTTAATGGCTGGATCATAATTAAGACCTTTAAGTCACTTGTAAATAGCTCCTTCCTCAATTTCACTAGATCGAGATTCCAAATCCATATATAATGGGTACCTAATGATTCCTAATAATTTTTATTCAATAGAGTTCATAATAATTTTCCTTGTTGGTATTTGCAGGAGATGAGTTCCAAGCCTAATAATAACAGTTCTCTTCATATTCAAGAAGAGCACAAGACATTAATGGACTTTTTTTCAACTGGTGCAGTTTTTCTCCCAAAGGAGATATTTTTAGAAATTCTCACCAGGCTTCCTGCTAAACCTTTAGTGCGATTCAAGTGTGTTTCCAAATTCTTTTATTCTCTTATAGCTGAGCCCCTCTTTGTTAAAGTGCACCACGACCGATCCTCGACCCGCCCCAATGGAACTCAAATCCTCTTAAATCTTCCCTTGCCAGACCAAAACCACTTCTACACCCTAAAGGACACCGGAGAAGACAAGGGAATGCTCCAAGCCAATCAGGTCCATTATTTGGAGGGACAACAGTTTAAAAATCTGAATATGTGGTCACAGGCTAATGGCTTGATTTGTTTATGCAACAATGATGGAGACGTCTCTATTTGCAACCCTAGTACAAGGTATATTATAAGACTCCATTTCATTGGACTGAACTAATCTAATATGGTTTTATATGGTTTAAGAATGATTTAAAATTCTAAATCAATATGATCTTATAAGATTTAGTATTATGTGAAATTTACTATTGTCTAAATTTTGTATGTTCTAATCTATTTCAGTGTCATAATGCATGTTAGAGTATGGTCTAGTCTAGGAATAAAATAAGTCTAACGAACAAAGCCTAAAATACCATCATGTCACAAATAATATATGTTCTGTATTTAGGATGTTTTCACTTTGATTGATTTCTGTTTCATTTCAAATCAGATTTAAACAAACTCAGTTCAAACCAGATCCATTCATATCCAACGAGTGAAAACATTCTTACTTAAATGATGTAGTACTACCTATTACACAAACCTTTGTCCCATCTTTAGTTTCTCGTTGAATAATGACACGATAATTTAGACAATTATAAATTATAAATAAGGTAACTTGAGTGTATTTTGAGAAGTATTTTGGATGTGTATATAAACATATAATGAGGTCATTGATGATAATTATGCTGCCATAAGCGTATTATTTTTAATATTTGATTATTAATTTGTCATTTAATTCCTAAAAAAAATGTAAAGTTTTAGCTACAGACTCCAAATACTATTTTTTCTTTATGGTATTGTTGTTCTCATTTTTACTAAAGTTGTGATTCTCTTTTCTATACTATGAACTTAATGTCATTCTAAACAAGGCAACATATATCCTTTCCAAGAGCTGCCACGAGCCCAAAAAGTCAAATCTACACTTGTTCTAGCTTGGGATTTGATCCGGTTTCAGAAAAATACAAGGTTTTGAAGTTGCAAATCTGGAATGATTTATTTAGTGGCTATTTAAAGAGGCAACATTGTGTGTTAACTCTCGGAGTGGATAAATCATGGAGGGAGATTAGTAATGTTTTGGTTAGGTACCCCGATGCGGGTGTTCACATTGGCGGTATTATCTATTTGATTGTAAGAACAATAAATAAACAGCAAATTGTCACTTTCAATGTTGGAGACGAGAATATCGGGTCGGTACCTTTCCCGGGCATTGAAGTAAAAAAATATCCCGTCCCAACGTCCTTGAGATTGTCATGGATGGAAATCGATGGCCGGCTTGCCGTCGTTCATATGCAAAGTAACAGTTTCGCAGAACGAGTAATGGATATTTGGACTTTGGAGAAATCAATGAAATGGGAGAAGCATAGCATTTCCGTTCCATGGGAAGAGAGTTTAATAGTTAAAGATGCTATGGACATTGTCTCCACATGTACCAATTTAGGCGAGATAGTGTTGTTCATTCAGGCATGGGGGTGTCTAAGAGTTTTAATTTATTCAATTAGAAAACATTTATGGAGAAAGTTGGAAGTATGCGGACTTCATGATTATTTATATGATTATCATAGAAGATCACACAATGCGGTGGATTTCATTCAAGAGAATTTGTATTTCTTCTCACAGAATGATTGATTACTTAGTTTTTTTTGTTTAATATTATTGGTTTATACATAAGTTGTAGAGCACAAGTTATATATATATATATATATATATATATATATATATATATATATATATATATATATATATATATCCAGGCGTAGGTTTAATTTGGAGGTAAGGGTCAGATTGGTACTCGAAGTTGCATAAATAGGTTTATGCAACTTCGAGTACCAATCTGACCCTTACCTCATTTAATTTGTATCTAGATGACTACATATTTTTGGGATTTCTTTCAACTTCGAAATTGAACATGTTGTTTTTTATTTTTAGTCTTTGTTGAGTATAATCCAACACGATATAGTAAATATATGTATAAATGTGAAAGGGAGAAAATCACGGGACTTTTTAGGCGGTATAAGGGTCAGTTTGGTGCTCGAAGTTGCAAAAAAGGAGTCAAATAAGTCCTTATATAGAAGATTCTGTCTGGAAGTGTCATTTGAGGTGGCTCCCGGTGGAATTTTTTGATGAAAATTGTTTAGCATCTTATTCATTAAGTCTAATTTATCCATATCAAATTTCAGATACAAATTCAATCGGGAAGACATTCAAATGAATTCTTGAAGATAATTGTGCCGTTGAAAGCGCAGTTATCTTCAAGAATTCATTTGAATGTCTTCCCGATTGAATGTTTAGCTGAAATTTGGTATGAGTAAACTAGACTTAATGAATAAGATGCTAAAAAAACTTTATCAAAAAATTCCACCAGGAGCCACCTCAAATGGCACATCCGGACATAATCTTCTATATAAGGATTTATTTGACACCTTTTTTGCAACTTCGAGTACCAAACTGACCCTTTACTCCTTTTTAGGCTAATGTCCAAGCCATCTTATTCTCATTAGGCTCTCATCACCATTACATAGTACAACATTCAAGCTCCCATTAATGGGGAAGTTATTCTAGAGAGATAAGTAAGTTGGGGAAGAAGCCGGAAGCCCTTGATGAGGAGGGAAAACTCCCTATTTATAGATAAAGGGGGAAGAGGGGGCTCTCCACCCTAATCGGCTAAATGGGTCGAGATGGGCCTAGGTGGGAAGGATGGCCGAAATGGGCCTAAAAGGACTTGATTGATAGGGCTCCATAATATGTAAAGTCTTGGACTCTTGAACAGTAACAAACCGGGATAATATATACCAACAGTCTTACTTCGACACAATCCATGTAAAGAGTTTTTCTCTCTCATTTTTATTCTGCTTGTCTTATTAATCTATATTTGAGATGGACTCTTGTGAATTAAAAAAAATCATATGCATGCATGTGACGATCTTTAGATTTGTTTTTTTATCATCAAAACAAACCGCTTATAAGACATCAAAAAGAGAAACCCTGACAACAACTATCCTTAACCAACTAGCACTATCAACCCTACGGCTAGACTCAGAGACGATCACCCCTGAAAGAATAATGCGAAGGTGACATCTTCGGTACCCCAATAAAAAATGGGGTACCGTACCTACCACGCATTTGATTGGTCCAAATCATTATATCCTTTTTAATTTAGATTTAAATAATTCGACTGCATCATTCTGATTGGTCCATGTAGGCAAAGGTATGGTACCGTATGGGTACCATAGAATCTACCTAATGCGAATCGTTAACCACAAAGCGGGTGTGACACAATAATCACTGATCATATAGATCCTTCTAACAATATAAATATCTAGCAGACTTGTCAATCATAATTGTAGACATAAAACTAAGGACATCAACAAAATCAGAGCAACATAAAGCATAACGTGAAAATAAAACCATAAAAAATTAAATAACTGATAAATCTTCCAAACCCTTCACCTCGATTGCTCCAAGGCGGCGCTTCAGGAGGGGGACGGACCGCCAATCTGTCTTCTCCCTTGCTCAGTCCTTCACCTCTCCCCGTCTTCTCGTCGTCTTTTCCGCCTCCACTACCACAACCACCCTCTACCCATGTTGATTCGCCAGAAACTAACTCTTCGACCTCCTCCTCAAGTGTAGGAATGAGACAACGCTTCTCTAGATCATCCATAGAAGGCATGATTATCGTTTCTTGAACCTTGAATTCGTTTCCAAAAGCCGGAGCCGTACCTTAAAAAGCATTCTATCCTAGAAGCCTAGAGAAGAAAAGCCGCACAAACAATTAACGGAAGAAAACCCTACGTGACGGCAAAGCCGCTAGGGAGACAAAACCCTACGCGACGCAAAGCCGCTAGGGAGAAACTAAGCGATCTGGAAAAATAGGGCTATGCGGAAGTTCTACGTGATGATCTTTAGATTAAAAACGTCTTTTTTCATTAATATAATTGCATTTTTTGAAATTGGCTCATCAATATTGAATAGCCACTAATTTCTTTCTGCTTCTGCACTTTTAAATACATTTAATTTAGTTGTTTCTACTTTAATTCTTTGAGTGACGTTAAAAGAACTTGTGGAATGTGGACTGGCCGGTTTACGTATATGCTCTTTAGCTCTTCCAATTTTTATAGTAAATCAGTACATGCAGTTAATTTTATTAATTTGAATTGTAATTGTTTTTTTTACCAAAGTGAATTCAGATTGCATTAATATAATCATTGTTTAATACATGAGAAATAATATAAGGAGGATCCATCAACCAACACTGGCAAACAGACATAAAACACACAGCCGTAGCAAGTGTATGAGCCACTTTGTTGGATGTTCGTTTGACATGAGAGAAGGTTAAACTCGTGAAATTACAATTCTCGAATATCTTCAGCTATCAACCCCGCCGACGAGCAACTTGACCCCTTCAAATTTTCTGAAATTACCGTGGACGCATCAGCTCCACGTCAGCCGAATCTCAACTATGTTCTTTTAACCAGCTAAGTGCCTCTCTAATACCAACTAGCTCCACTTCAAATGGAGAAATATTTCCCCTCCACGGTAAAGCCATCCCTCCTCTGAAATCCCCCTTTTCATCCCGTAACACCAACTTAGGACCACACTTGCCATTTTGAACTGCCGCATCTGAATTTAGTTTTAGCCTCCCAGGAAGAGGGCGACTCCAATCTGGTGCATCAACATGAACTGCAGCAGCCACACCTCGGACATATTTTCACGCCTGCTCCCAACTCCACCATGGCAGCCGCTTTCTGCCTAAGTTGGCTCGCCTCTAGTCGAACTCCCTTTCAAAGTCGCTGGTTCCCCTCATTCCAGATACCCCAGCAGCCCTATTCTTCGAGCCATCACATCGTCTCTCCTGGAACTCCATTTGTGCCTGTTCAATAACAGAATCTGTTAGTTGCTCAGACCAGCTCCAGCCCACAGCCTGCCACGCTGTGCACGCGAGCGGACAACAAACAAACATGTGCTGCAAGGATTCTACAACCCCACTACACATACCGCAAACAACAGGTACCTCCACTCTTCTTTTCTGCAAATTCTCCGTAGTTGGAAGACAACCTGCACAAACCAGCCAAGAGAAAACTTCAATCTTAGGGGGTAACTGCCAATTCCACATTCTACGGACAGAGAATGTAACAACCTCCACTTCACCAACCAACCTCCTGTAACAACTACGGACAGAGAAGGAACCTCCTGATTCCCATCTCCAACACAGCTTGTCCGGTACAGAACGCCTACTCGATGGAATGCTGCCAGTCAACTCAATATCTTTGCTATTAAAAAGATCGTTGAGGATATCATAATCCCAAGCTTGCTAAGAAAATGCAACCCAAATCAACTCAACTATTTTTCTTTAATTTACATCATATGCAATCTAAACCTTGAATATATTTGTTTGCACCAAAAGGTTCGGAATGTTGCTTATTTCATTTATATGCCTTCATTGATTAGCTACCAGTTAATTAATCCTCTTAATAACAGAACTACATTGCTAAAAAAGTTTTTCATGTGATAGTGCGTGTCTTTAAAATACATATAGCTAGAGAGTAAGAGTGTTATGTATTTATGATATATGTTTGGATTGGCCTTATAAGATTCTTACAGGTTTATGACTACTTTGTTTTAAGATTGAAAATTGAAAACTCCCTTAAACTTTTTAAGTTTTAACAATAATGTGAGAAAGGTTGATATCATCAGTGCAAATAGTAAAGCCTCAAAAAGCCAGAACTATTCTGCTCCACAGAGATTTCATTTCTTCACGCACAGGCGGTCTTACTTGAAGAATTGACTCTTGAGATGATCATCGGTTAACCTTCTATTTTCTTGCCTGTTTGGTTTGTACAGAATTTTCTATTTGTTTCTATTTTGAGTTATATTTTTCTATTCGACTTCATTTCTATTTCCAATTTCCATTTGTTGCCTAAAGCAGTAGATTCACAATCTTATTTAATTGGAGATGTTTTCATCTAATTCATTTGATTTTCACTTCTATTTATATCAAACTGGGGGCGGGAGATTTCATCCGTGTACACAATATTATTAAAACGTGTAATCTTAAATCTAATACTATCTTATATGTTTAGTCATATTGATATATTTGAGCATTAGTAACCATTATGTTGGGCGTGTAATGACACTTTTGATCATGCTACTAACTGATTTGGTGATTATTTTGATTGAAACATAGTATGTAAATATCTTGATTTTCTATTCTGATTTTTCTTCTTCATTTCAGATTGGAATATTGGATCGCTCCAGCAAAAGGACTTTTTTTAAATAACATAAGTAATGTGTAGTACGTAGCAACATATTGCTCCCTCCGTCCCTAATAAAACTTCCAAATAGGTTTGACACACAGTTTAAGATAGTGGGTATTGTGTGGTGGAGAGTTGTGCAGAGGAGAGAGAAATGTGTAAGAATTGTTGTGAACCACAAATTCTGGCCAAAAAGGGAAAGTGGAAGTTTTAATTGGGACGGAAGAAAAAGGAAAGTTGGAGGTTTATTTAGGGACGGAGGGAGTATGTAATTAGCACAAAGTTGAATATAAGAATTCATGATACTCTTATATTGTAAATTTTCCTTTTTCTGCTCTGCAAGCATTTGGCAAGTCCACATGATCAAACGGTTTCATCTGCAGATTTCCTGACCACCCACATAGTAGCTCTGAGCATGAGATGGTCATTTATATGTCAGAGGTATAC